TTTTTAACTCAAAAGAGTTATTGTATCTCCTCATTTGTTTCTTACTTTTTGTTTATCCATTCCCAGTAGGTCAACAGAACCATTTCAATTTCATTTTCTTTACAGTCTATTTTTCTTCCTGATTCTTCAATTGTAAATTCCTAGATCTGAGTTTCTATTTATGAATGTTTAGAATAGAAAGGACCTTGAGGGGTCATCAAGTCCATCCTTCTGCTTTCCAGGAGAACTCATAACTAATATGAGATGGTATAAGAAAAAAAATGAATCCTGTCATGCCTGGTAGCATGCAACTTCAATCTGCACAAACATTTCCATTCACAATTTGCAATTTTTAAAAAATGAAAGTAAAAATTAAAACCCCAAAAGAGGAAGGTGCTTTAAAAATGCATTTATCAGCTAAAATTGCTCAAACGTAAATTCAACTGTCAGGTCTAAAATTAACACACAGGAAAGTTGTTGGCTGCCAACATAAAGTCTTTAGTCCCTAGAGATGTCTTCTGTAGCACCATTTCACTTACTGCACATAGCCTGGCAAACTTATACCACCACACCAATAAACTATAATTATAAATGGCAATTATGTGTGTGTGTATTTACAGTCGGTGTAGGTTTCTTATTCCAAACAGAAAATGAAAAGTTAGGACTAAACTGGAGTTTTATTATCATGAGGAAGCTACAATACAACTGTTCTATAATGGAGTTTAATTCTTTAATTTCTAACTTAAAATATTCAGGGAATAAACTTTCTTCCTAAAAGAGTTTCCAAAACAGAATTTCATCTAATGACAAAAACATGCAACTAAGAAGAAACACTGGACACGTTAAACATTCTATAATTATTAAAAAAGAAAGAAAGAAGAAAGAAAAGAAAGCAGGACCAGAAGTCTTGAAAATGGGGGAAAAAGTTATAATTTGAAAAAATATGGGGCAGGGAAGGTAGAGTACAGAAACTGTAGAGTGGGGCTGGCTGGTTAGCTCAGTTGGTTAGAGCATAGCCTTGTAACACCAAGGTGCAGAACCTCACACAGGCCAGCCACCAAAAAACAAAAAACAGAAAACTGTAGAGTAGTGAAATAGATATTGTTTCCCAGAAAGATGCTAAAATGAATTATTAAATAGACAATTTAAACAACTGGCAAGTTATGCAGTGACCTATAAACACTGGCATAAGATAGCTAGATAGCAACTAATATCTAACTTCACTTTCTGACAAGGTCACTAGTCTACGAACTCAGTGATGTTAAGAGACTGAATATATTTCGATCTCAACAGGACACCTCTAGATATTTCATAGAAAAAATAAAAGTTAGATAATATAAAACAGCAGGTGGGATTCATAACTTAATTTTACCCAAAAGTTTGATTAATGGATTAATGTTAACATAATGACAGTCTGCTAATGTTGTACAGCATTGCTCCACCCTTATACATATTTTTATCAGTGAACTAAAACAAAAACACAGGCATCATATTTATCAATAACACAAAGATAAGAGGAATGGTCATGAGGCTAAATAACATTATCAAGCTAAAATAATAAACCAAAATTAACAAGATGACAACTACAGAGATAAATGTAAAGTTCTCAATTATGTTAAAAAAGTCAACTACATAGGGCTGGCCTGTGGCTCACTTGGGAGAGTGTGGTGCTGATAACACCAAGGCCGTGGGTTTGGATCCTATATAGGGATGGCCGGTTGGCTCACTTGGGAGAGCGTGGTGCTGACAACACCAAGTCAAGGGTTAAGATCCCCTTACCGGTCATCTTAAAAAAAAAAAAAAAAGATCAACTACACAAATTAATGTGATCTTTAAGAATAGAGGTATAGAGTACAGCAAGAAAGAAGCCATGCTCCCCCTGTACTGATCTATATTGATCAGATTTTATTTGAGACGTTATATTCAGATGTAGATAAGGAACCCTAAAAACTCAGGCAACTAAGTTAATGACGAGCCTGAGCTTTATTTAAAAAAGTTATTTGAGGAACAGCTGAAAGAAATTGGGATATTTACCGCAGAAAGAGATACCTTAATGGGATGTAAGTGTCAAATATTTGAAGCCTTCCATGTTGACAGGGAATTAAGTTTATTTATTGTGGCTTCAGATGACAGAGCTAAAGACCTTCAACACAATGTAAAGAATGTTCTAAAAGTAGAGCTCCGATAATAGAACAGGATATCTGTGAAGTGGGAACCTCTTCCTTACAGTGTTCAGAAGTTAAAAGACGACCCATTAGAGATTCCAAATATGATGTGTTTTCACAATATCATGAGTATACTCGATCCCAAAAGAAATCTCTTAGGGGAAGGCAACAATTAAAAATGAGCATATGTCAAAGAAGCTTAAAAATTCTTTTTTTCGACGTTTTTATTTTATTTTTTGACCGGTAAGGGGATCGCAACTGTCGGCATGGTGTGATCTGCACCACGCTCAGCGTACTGGCCATCCCCATATAGGATCCAAACCTGTGGCCTGGGTGCTCCCAGCGCCGCACTCTCCTGAGTGAGCCACAGGACCAGCCCTTCTTCGACGTTTTTAAAGAGAAAGAAGCCTTTTTCATGAACACCAAAATCACAGAACCATTTTCAGAGAAACCAACAACAAAAGAAATTAACTTTTTTTTTTTTTTTAATGAATGCTGCATTTGTTTTTCTCAAAGAAACATCTGTACTTTAACTTTAGTACCTTTATCAAGGGATAAGGGACAATTATATGCCAGCCTGCCAACTAGTCTCAAGAAGAGAGCTGTCTTTATTAGACATTTACATGGCAGCGCTATTTGCTCCACCTAAAACTTCCTTGCAAGGAGAAGGCTCCTCCTTATAAGACGTGGATAGGAGGCTGCAGTAACACTGACTCCCTCCCACTGCAGCCTAGGAAAAACTCAGTCTTGACATGCATAAAACAACAACTTCTGAGAACTTCAGAGCAGCTGTGTTCAGGCAGAGCCAGGGGCTTTACTCAAGGCAAAGTAGTAGCTTAAGAGTTGGTTGAAAAAACAATTTTCATTTGGGGTTCAAATGAGGAGAAGAAAGAGAACAAATACAGTAACAGTAGCTATTACTTTTTAAAGCCATGGTAAACAAAGGTGTTTAAAAATCACGACACTGAAACTACTGTTTCAATGTAAAAAGTATAAACTTTGATCCACAAGTTGAAAGAATAGCAATGTTATCATGCTTCAGCTTTCTCCTGGGTGGTAACACTAGAGAGAAAAAAATAATCTTGCATTTAATAGTGTTTGAGTCAAAGCCATCACAAATTCTAGGATGAAAGACCAAAACAAGGAACTTTGCTCTCTCATTGGATATTTTTTTGTGCTGCTGCCAGGCAAACTGTGAAAATGTTCTGAATTTCCAGTGGCAATGCTCTTCATGTGAAATACTGGAACCCAGATCAGTAGTTAACGCTAAAGAGTCAGTCATTAACTGGTCTCAATGTGCTATAGAAGTAACTTCCTGGCAGAGGAGAAAAGCTACAACTGGTTGCTGAAAACCAGTTTTATAGTTAATGCAAAACTACATACTCTGATTTCTCTTCATATAATAGCTTTACTAGTATTTCAGATATTACTTCGCTTTTCAAAAGTGAAAGAAGTAATGTAAAAGAAAATTCTATGCAATAGCAAAAATAATAATAATTAATTGGCTGTATTAGTCTAATTCATTACTAAACAAAAGCCAAAGGCCTGTCCTTTTCTGCACAGAATTAAGAACTGGTAAGACTACTTAGTACAGCTGCCAAACTTTTCTTCAGCTTCTTTTCTTACAGACATGTTACATTTCGCAATACTCTCCACTTACCTTACATCCTCCACGTTTAAGTACAAATTGTGTTTGCTTTCCCCAACCCCTGTCCTAAGATATGATGACATTTCTTTGGTTTCTGAGAATGGTTGCAAAGAAAGAAACTGAACATTTTTCACTTTCCTGAAATATGTGTCTATTTTATTTACACCATTTAAAAAAATATATAAGCTAACTAAAACTAACTGCAACCATCCATTTAACAACTCTTCAAGAATGAGTAGAAAAGGCACATTTAAACAAAACAAACTTCGTTTTAGTATATATGTGCTTAGAATGCCTATAAAGACTGAAGTCTCTACAAGAATCACTTACACTACCGCAAAATTTTTAAACATAAGAATCAAGTGAGTTTGCTGAGAAAACTCTGCACACCCCTACAAACCTACACTTACTATGACACGATCCTCAGAGATACTAAAACATCCTCTGTTAAGTAGAAAACAAACTCTTAAAGTTAGGAAAGCTGCAACGCGGGAATCTGGGTAGGAGGTGCCCTGAGCAGTAAACACCCCGGTCAGAGAACATAACAAGCAATTCAGAGCAACATATAAGTCCCTATGGGGCTCTAACTTGGACCGGTTAAGTCCCAAGCCCACATCCCCCAGTGTTTTGGAAGAGATGAAATTTGGGAAGGGGAAGAGAGAGAGAGAAAGAAAATCAGAGAAATGATGAAAGTGTTCTATTTTTCTCCTCTCTACCTCCATGCCAGCATTCTTGTAGGCTGGTCACCAGTCTGGGTGCCATATCCACCAGAAGCTCTAAATCAATATCTCAGCCTCCTTCTGATATGTAGGCTAAGACCTGTATATCAGCCGTCTCCTTTCCAAATACCTCCCTTACTCCTATCGACTCCCATACCGTTCCCAAAGCCACGCCTTCTGGCGACTCAGCCCACGCATATTGTCTTCCTAAACTCATTCACTCAATTTTCTCTAAACCCTTACTTTCTCTCTGATATCACGTCCCTGATACTCATTTTATTAATTCAATCGAAATGCCACGACCCTCATTTCCAGTGATCTACCCCTAGCTATCTTTCTAGCTAAACCCAATGCACGTTTTTACCTGATCAAGATTCTTGTTCTCACCCACTCATTTCCTACCTCCTTCCTATTATCCCTGCCTTTTTTAATGCTAAGACCCTAACCCCACTCTTTGGGAAGCCCTGGATCTTCAACCTAGTTTAGTACCCTTGCTCTTTCTCCCATTCCACCGCATTCCATGATCCTTCCATTAGGCGCCTCTAGACCACCAGTCCCTCAGTATCCAATTCCCCTCTCTTTGCCACGCCCTGTGCCCCCCGGGGCTACTTACCCCAAGTTCTCCCCACACTTCAGGCCTGTGGCCCCGCCTTCCCCCCAAAGGAAGGAGGCGGGAGGAGGGAGAGGGGCGGCACTCCGCAAGGTAAAGACGATTTCCCATTAGCGTTCATCGCCGCCAATCGTAGCCTCCCTCTCTCTTATTGGCCAGTTTTAACCTATACCCCACCCACTTCCTCAGACAGGGCCCGGCCACCGCCTCAGCGCCCCCGTCTAACACAGACTGGGAGGGGAGACCCCGGCCCGGGACGCTGGTACTGGCCAGAGTTGAAGGAGAAACTCCCGTCAGATCGAGGACTAACTAATGTTAACAGGACTCACCCGCTGGTAGCTCCGTCGCCTCCCGCCCGCCCGTGCTCCTTCCCACAATCTGTCTCCAAGTCCTTCTCACCCCCCTTAGCGGAGCAGATACTTTCCTGCCGTCCAGGCAGGCACGTTCATTTCTCGCGAGAAGTAGGGGGGGAAGGGCGAGATTTGTGGGGGCTGAGTTGGAAAGGGGCCGAGGGGCGGGGCTCCAGGAAAAGAAGGGGCCTGGTTTACTGTGGGCAGGCCTGGGGACGGACGGTGAGCGAGTACTGTACACACAACTCACACGTGTTCGGCTGCAGAGTCGGGGGGTGGCAGGGTGGGGGTGGATAAAGCAGGGGAAAAGGAGGAAAGGGAATATTTACTGGTGCCTGTAGTGGTGGATGTCCAGAAGGTGAAGCGCTAGGCTGATTGGGTAGCTCAGTTGGTTAGAGGGTAGCATTATATCACCAAAGTCATGGGTTCAGATCCCCATACCGGCCAGCTGCCAAAAAAAGGTAGAGCAAATATTCTAGGGAACAAGATTATCTCAAAGGAGCACACTTTAAAAGTGAGAGATTATATTTCAATAAAGCTGTTTAAAAAAAGAGGGGTTAACACAAGGGAGTTCAGGATTCCAGACATGTGAATAGTTATACTTTCTTTACACTTACAATACTATCACTGTGGCCAAAATGTGTGTGTGTGTGAGTGTGACTGGGGGATGGGGGGGAGTATGGTAAGGAAATGGCTACTTAAAAAATGTGCAGGTTGTTTTTGCTATCCTCCAGAGTCATCGCTTCCTTAATGGCAAAGTAATTACAAATACCCTTAGCCCTAGAACTGGAATAAATGTGTTGGGAAAAAGCAATCCACCGGCACAGCAATCCTAATGCTGCCATTTTACCAGCTTTATGGTCTTGGGTGAGAAGCTTCTCTGAAGCTCTGTACAATGTAGCTACCAATCCCATTTTACTCAAAAAGTTGTTATGATGTTATGATCACGTTATGAAACTGATTTTTTTTTTTTTTTGGCGGCTGGCCGGTGTGGGGATCTGAACCCTTGACCTTGGTGTACAACACTACGCTCTAACCAGCTGAGCTAAACGGCTCATGAAACTTTTTTAAAAAAAGCACTATATTTATTATTCAGCAAGTGTTTTAACAAAACTTAACAGAACATACTATGTGCAAAGCACGTTCTAATCATGGGGAGAACAGACAGACCAGGTCCCTGCTCTGCTAGAATATATATTTTAGTGGGGAGGGGAGACAGTTAATAAGCCAATAATCACAAATGTTTCAAATAGTGAAGAGTGCTTCAGGGTAATGAGACAAAGTGAGTAGGAGTGGGGAAGAAACTTTACTCCTAGTGGTGAGAGGCCTCTTTGAGGAAGTAACATTTAAACCAGGAGTTAAATTATGAGAAAGCCTTGGGAAGATTTGGGGGGAAACATCAAATGCAATAGCTGTATTCAAAAATTTATCATATGGTTAAGATGGTGAATGTTATGTCATTTTTTTTTTTTACCACAATTAAAAACTTTTATAAAGTTAAGTTGTGTGGAGAAGTTTATATTACCTATGGAATCTCTGTTCTTTCCTTTTACAGCTCTGTTACTTGGCTTTCTGCACTTCCTTCCTAGCATCTCATCTATCCTCACAGCACCTTCTGAAAGGCAGGAAGAATCCAGGTGATTTCTCAGTAGATAGCAAAGGTGAAACAGAGGCATAAAATCACTTAGGTTCTTGTGAAAAGAATTGAGAAAAGCTGAGAGGAGTCTTGGCTTCCAATCTACTCTCCCCTTAATTCCTACTTAAAAGAATGCAGTGATAGAAACAGACCTTAAATATATAATCTTTTTTTTTCTTTTTTGATGAAAAAAAAGGGGACCTTAAATATATAAGGAAATTTTGTATATAACAGAGGTGGCATTAAAAATAAGAGGGGAAGGGTTTCTACAAATTGTTCTGGAACAATTGGCTATTGCTCTATACATATAATAGCTAACATTTGTAGATCTTACTATGTTCCAAGCACTAAGTGTTTTACATATATGAATTCATTTTTTCCCAACTTTATATTCCCAACCGATACCTCTCCTCTAGTTCAGGCCAGACTAATATCTCCAACTGCTTACCTAACAAATCCACTTAGATGTCTAATAGGTATTTCAAACTTACCATGTCCAAAACAATTCCTCCTTTCTCTCCTACACGTGCCCCTTCCCTAATCTTCTCCATCTTAGTAAAAGATACCTTCATTGTTCCAGCTGTATTTTTTAAATTGAGATATAGTTCACATACCATAAAATTCACCTTTTTATTTATTTATTTATTTATTTTGTCTTTTTTCGTGACCGGTAAGGGGATCGCAACCCTTGGTGCAGTGTTGCCGGCATGGCGCTCAGCCAGTGAGCGCACGGGCCATTCCTATACAGGATCAGAACCAGCAGCGAGTGTCGCTGCGCTCCCAGCGCCGCACTCTCCCGAGTGCGCCACGGGGTTGGCCCAAAATTCACCTTTTAAAATGTACAATTCCATGATTTTTAATATGTTCACAAAACTACTACCACACACTTAATTCCGTAATATTTTCATCACCCAAAAAGAAACTCCATACTAACAGTCATTCCCATTTACCAGCCTCCTCCCCCTCGCCTCCCCCATCAACCCCTGACAACCATGAGTCTCCTTTCTGTCTCTATGGATTTGCCTGTTGTAGACATTTTATATAAACGAAGTCATATAATATGTGGCCTTTTGTGTCTGGCTTCTTTCATTTAGCATAATGTTTCCAAGGTTCATCCATGTTTTAGCATTTATCAGGCCTTCATTCCTTTTATGGCTGAATAATATTCCATTGAATGGGGCTGGCAGGTTAGCTTAGTTGGTTAGAGACAGCAAGGTCAAGACACTTCTTGTTATTACACCAAGTCAAGGGCCGGCCCGTGGCTCACTCGGGAGAGTGTGGTGCTGATAACACCAAGGCCACGGGTTCGGATCCCATATAGGGATGGCCGGTTAGTTCACTGGGTGAGCATGGTGCTGACAACACCAAGTCAAGGGTTAAGATCCCCTTACCGGTCATCTTTAAAAAAAAAAAAAAAAATTCTAACAAACATAAAATCTGAAATTATTCGATGTCTTTACCCTTTCCCCCCAAATATTAGGGTCCATGATTATTTTAACTCCAAAGACTTTTTGCCCATTTTTTCATACGATCATAGTGGAATGTTTTGGTTTTATCTTTTTAAACTCCCCACAATAAGCATTGTTTTTTTTTTTTTTTTTTTTTTTTAAA